CAGGTTAAGTTATATGACACACATAAATGCATGGTCTACAACGCCATCCATATTTAAATAGTGTAACTGTTAAGTATTTTTATGTGGCTAACCTTATGTGGCCCTAAACCAAATTATCTGTACGTTATCTTAGATAATTTAGTAAAAATAACACTTTCTTTCATCTAAGATGCAGATGTAGATAATATTTATTTTTATTATCTATATAAAGATAAGATAACGCTAAAATTTTATCTAGATAATCATCTATATAATTTTATTTAGGTAACAGCAAACACTGCATATAAGTTTCAATAATATGCATTTTTCGATTTTTGTAGAATGTTGTAACCCTAATTTCCGAATATGCCTCGTAATAGATATTACGAGGGCACCAGCTGGATTGACGGCTGGTCCCTTGACGGCTGACTCACCGTAAGATGCGTGAAAAACGACAATGAGCCATGTGAATATGTAATTGATGAGAACAACACCGTGGTTTCCTACAAAAGCCGTCGCTGCCTCGCAGAAGCGTTAATTCCGCTCATTGTAGTCGCGCTAGGCAAAGTGGATAATGGTGGTGCCGCGGCCTTATTTCCTAGGCTGCGTCGATTAACCGACGCGGATATACCTCCGCGAGGTATACGCGCAAATATACGTCGGTTTCGATGTACTCGCGTTGTCGGTCAGGCCCCGTGAATGTTATAATCAGCGTACATCGCGCCTTGATGATAGGCCTCGGCACCATTTATCCTCGGGGCCCCGATAGTAGCCCCCGTCGCCGGTCCCGTCATTCAATTGTCCGATAATCTAATAGAAAAGTCAACGGTTAACGACCCTCTCCCCCCCCCGTTCCCCCTCCCCTTTCCCTCCCTTTCTTTCTGTTCCTCTACGTGAGAAAAATGATTTACAAGCGTGATACCGTAAACCTATTTTCAGACGCGAAATTGCGTCTCGTAAAAAACGCGCGAGGCGCATAGCGGAACATTGTCCATAACCGCGTTCCCCGTCTCCCCCTACCCCTCGTCCGGCTCGATGGCCGCGTACGGCGTTTTCCTCCGGGATGCAGTTGGTGCACGCAACGCTGGCAAATCGCCGTCTCGGATTAGTTGCGTTTCTCGACAAGACGAATCATCTACTTTAATTGGTTGCGCTCGAAACCTTTGGCGAGACACCTTCGGTGAACTCGAGAACGTATGGGGCAGTTTAGGATTATCGCCCGACCGTTTGATCCCTTAAGTGAATCGACTCGCGCGAGCTGTAGGAAGATAAGCTCCAGAGATTCTCGAGGTTAATTGGAGGAATCGGTGCATACATTATTGCACAATGACAGATGGAACGAAAAGGTATTAAATGTTTCTTCGAACTTGCGTAAGCGGGCCGCTGTAAACGATTTCGTTCTTGCCTGACTTTGATCTTATAAGCGCAACGTCATTATGCCTCTTATTTTCTCCATTTTAAATGGCGAGACCACTCGGCGATCCAGTCTTGCACCCAGCCATTCGACACGCGTTTTCTTCATCGCGTTCTTCGTCGCGATAATCCAGGAAGTAGCTCGCGTTACCTCGCCAAGATCCATCGCATTTTCCTCGGCTCTTTGGAGAGCAAATCGCTGCGCACACAAGGTGCTACCACTTACATCGTGCTCAGCAGCCATAAGCACGTCTTACGCTGGGGGGAAAAAAACAACGTAAACCACCGTCGGTTTTGAGATGCCGATCGTTTGTGGCGCCTCGACAGCGTGTTGCTGGACGCGAAGCAGGTTGATGGCCCAATTAACGTGAGTGCCCGCGTTAATGGGTAGACGCAGAGGCGTCATACACGCGTCATGCCAGCATATTTCCCGGCGCACCCATCCTGTCCCCCTCCAAGATCGGCCGCTTCCTACGGGTCCGATTGATTATTCTCGTTACTCGCGCTCGCGTCTCGTCTCGCGGCTACCTTTCGCGAGGGACGTGGGCACCGCGCCCGACGTTTATTGACACGATCGCGCGCGCGCGGCGCCGAGAGATACAATGGAGCACGAGGCGTGAGATATAGGAAAACAAAAGTGTGTGAAAATAACAAATAATCGAGCCGTTATTATCAACTTATAGTCCTGTGCTGAACCGGACTCGATAACGTTTCTACACGGCTAAGGCAAAAATAACTAAAATTAAAATGCTGCCGTATAAATAGTCGAGGCATCTACGTTGCTTTGTGTTGCAACATTCGCTAAGTTTGCTGCACAAAACGCATATAGTTGTCTCCACTACTTATCATACCAATGTGGGTATGTCAACCATAGATATAGCTGTCCCAAATATTACTACGAGGGCGGTTCAAATATGATCGAGACAAACACTGTAGATGGCGCGCCTGTATGTTTTGAAAGTCGCGGCTTAAGTATGTGATAGCTGGGTCCCTTCAAAACATACAGGCGCGCCATCTACAGCGTTTGTCTCGATCATATTTGAACCGCCCTCGTATTATTGTGCCAACCCTAATTAGACATGTGGTAACCATATCGGTCTCTCCGTGTACTGTTTTGCGCCAGTCACAATGCCCAGGTATTCGAATCGGTTACGAGCGAACTATATTTTTCATAAGAGATTGTTCTTACTCTTGTGATCGGCCAGATCTCTCTCGCATTCGATTTCGGTCACAAAGTAGGTACCAAACGAAAGGTCTCGTCAGGACGATCGCAGATACGTCAATCTCAGAGTGTACCTGTTTAACGTTCCAGAGATATCGGCCTCCAAAAATTCCCAGGACGTAAGCGATGAACTCGTCTGGACGGACACCAGCCAGTTGTTTGGAATGGAATGGAACCTTTGGAGCCCGATATCTCTGGAACGTTAAATAGGCGCACTCTGAGACTGACAGATCTGTAATCAGCTCGACGAGACCTTTCGTTTGGTACCTACTTTGTGACGAAAATCGAATGCGGAAAAATGGGGTCATTTGTCTACGGACACTTGTTCTCACTCTTTCGCCAAATAACATAGGTTTTCGATCTGAACCCACTGATTAGATATCGAGAAGTATTCGAGACTCAATGTAGAAAATTGCTAGACGACGCTTGGCTGGTAAATTCTAATTAAAGAAATTCATTGCGAAAAACATTACCTCACCCTGGCTGAGGTAATATTTTTTGCAATGAATTTCTTTAATTAGAATTTGCCAGCCAAGCGTCGTCTAGCAATTTTCTGCATTGGTTAATCATGTACTGGCGTTAAATAACTCTTTACGTTATTCGAGACTCGTTCGTTTTTTATGAGAAATAATTTGGGCCGCAAAGTAAACAATTGGAGCAAACGAAATTATTTTGTCACGTCAATCAGAAGGCGACTATTGCTTCGCATATCAACGACCAACTCCCATGCCTTTGCCAATATTTGTAATTTTTATATCGGCAATTGCCGTACGTAAAATCGACAAGATCTGTAACATTGTAAAACCTCGGTCGAGCGTTTCGAAAGAAATAAACCGAGAGATTGCGAATTAATGCTCAATAATCTGCGTGTTCAATGAAGATGTATCCTGCATTAGTGATGCGGCAATGAGCTAACAGAAGATTTCACAAAATCGCGGCTCTCCAACATTTCTATCAACTTCTCTCTGATATGCAATCATCCGAGATGTAATAACGCGGAAACGTCCATTCATCATCGTGATAGTGCAACGCGCGAGATGCAACGCCGCGCAATGAAGGCCGCGCGTCATTAATTAAAGCGTAACGTCCATTTCCTTGATCGCGAATTAATGATTTCTTACTATTATCCGTTAATTCGAAACGAGCGGAACGTACGATTATTTATTCTGCAATATCATTTTGCAAATTTGCTTACTCCACCGAGAAGCGTTACGTGTACAATATAAGATATATGTCCGGGAAAGAAATTTTGAAATTAAATTGATGCAGACCTTAATCTTTTGCAAAATAATTCAAGTATCGTATCCAGTTGACATTTAAAGTGATGACGTTTCTTCGTTGTAATTGTAGAGTCTTTCGTTTGACTCATTTGACCCCCGGCTTCCGTTGTTAATTCCGTAAAACAAGAGCAATCCTCTCGGAGCTAGGTCGTATTCTTTGACCGACTAAAAAAAACGGGGACACGCACGGGGCACGCGTCGCTCCCTAAGTGATATTGCGCTCCTAATTGCGAGCCGCCCGCTCTATCCTCCCGTTCCCGAAGCAGTTTGAGAAAAAAAAAGGAAGTGCTTCATATTCCTAATTACTCTACCAATTCTCCTCGGTTTCTTTTTTTCACCCCTTTCTCTTTAGCTTGTCCGCACGCGACAATGCGCGCGTGCCGCACGCACCGCGCTTCGTTAAGCGGAAATCAGCGCGGATTTGCACCCGTAAATTGCATCGTCTGCGCTCTCCATTCGCTGCTTCGTCGGCGCATTAGTTTATCGAGATCTGGAGCTCGCTACTTTAGTACTTTTGTCCGATTCGATTTCACCGTTACCGATTTCACCCATGTCAGCTCGCTTGCCGTATGTAATTGATCTTGTTCTTGAAAAAAAAAACGGCTCGCAACGTTACGAGAATACGTGTATCTAAAAAATATACTACCTGAATCTAAGAAATTCTACGTAAATTTAAAAAGTGCCAGAAATTAACATGAAAATGCTAGAATGTGGAACACTTTTGTTAATTTTTGTAATATTCTACAAGCAAGCAGATGTTTTAATTCTTTAAGATTTTATTGTTTCTCAAATCTTATGTAATCAAGTACTGCTGGCGACTTTTAAGAATATTCTCATTTAGTTGGTTATTCTTTAACACGCGTGACAGAAAACAAGTTTTAAACGTCTGGATACACGATATCTTTTCTATGTGTTTCTAAGAAATTCTCAAAGTGGGCTATAAAGAAATAAGGAGGAAAGTTTGATCCTAAACTCAATCAAGTCCGCGCATAAAAAGTACACTTATCGAAGCACTGTCTTTGACGCGAGCAAATTTTGATTGTTGCAGCTCAATTGTTTGGTCTCTCCTCGATCTCTCATCGTTTCGTCCTTTGCCTTGATTTCAGGGTGCTGAAACCGCCCGGCGGTGGCAGCAGCGATATTTTCGGCGCGGCCCCGGAAGAGACGAGCCCGCGGCGCGTTAAAGCCCACAATCAGTCCCAGCTGGGCTCGGCCCTCTTTGGCAACACCAACGGCACCGACAAAGGAGACGGTGCCGTGTCGCCGCGCAGCAACAAGCCCGGTAATGATTCATACAAACGCCTGTTTGGTCCTCCCGATGCCCCACCCCCAAACGCGAGAAATCACATGCGCAGCAATATTCCCCTCAGCGGGGGATCGTCGATCTCGTCGCTATCGTCGTGCACCGCGACGTCACCCGCGAAGAGCACGGCCAGCAGCAACTCGTCGGGTATCGCCAACGGCTATACCAGCAACGGCAGCAACTCGTCCAATGATATGACAGGTAAGGACCCGTGGTGAACGAGGAAGCGGTAGCTGAGTCTGTCCCGGGGTGGACAACAGTGGTCTGACCACTTTCCCTCGATAGAATCTAGTTATTGATATCTAACTAGTAATCCGATGACATTGCAAGCTATTTAATATGTAAATTGATACATCTCTCCTATGACATTGTACTTGAGAGAACGATCGCTTCGTAGAAGTTTACAAGTTTTCCAATAAATTCAATTTACGGAGTTCCTTACAAATTATATGTCACTTTGGGATATTAAAAGAAAATGCAGTATTAAATAAAGGTGATTGCCATTGGAAAATGTGCAGATATGCCGCCCCGGGACCCTTTAAACTGTTTCCACATTCAGGTGATGCTCCTTTCTATGAAAGCGAATACCAAGGGACGACGCTCCTGATCTAAGTTGAAATATGTGTGTGTCGCAGGCTCTTGGCGTAAAAAATAATTTTCCGTTCTGATAATCGCGCTCTTGTCACGACGGGAAGTAACTTTCTCATCGGAAACGTATTCGGTCTTTCGGAGTTCACGCTCGTTGAAAGTAAAACGCGCAGGCAAACTTTTCAGGCGTTTCAAAAATGATCTTTCTATGTTTCGCGCAGAATAAAGAGAGACTAATGATATATTCAGTTATCTCGATTGCGCCAGACGCGAATACGCTTTGTGTTGAGTACGTACGATATTTGACCAATCGAAAACGTTCCGACGTTTTCTTTTGCCGCTCGTGAAATCACGCCTAATCAGATCAACGGCGAAAGTCCTTCGGTCGGACGCGACATGCTCTCTTTGCGCAAACCGAGTTATCGCCGAGTCGGCTTTCGGCCCGTCGATGCGGAGCTAGCGAGACACCAAAGATTCTAAATGAATATCACTGTCTAACATGTATATACCGCTCTCTCTTTTTTTTTTAATGTATGTCACTTGAACTGTTCGCAAGCAGCTTTTAGGAGAAACAAAAGATTTCGTAAGTGTGTAACGAGACATTCAAGTAGATGACACACGACACTGCTACACTTTCTTTTTTTTTGGTCATAATTAAACGCGCGTAATCGCTCGGCAATCATTTCTCTCGCGACGAATAAGACGGCGGAAAATCTCATTGCGCAAAAGTCGACAACGTCGCGGCGGAAGAAACGTTTGATTTTCACGGAGCATTCGCGCCATGTATCTCGACATCATCACGTTATTTTAGGGCCTGCCACGAATACAGGAACACATATTTTGAGTTAGACATGCCTATTACCGCTTAGGCCTTCATACCGTACATTCCGCTAATAACATTACATCTCGCTTTACGTTAAACTGTTATTTGTATTGTTTCCCACACACGATTCACTCACTTGTGATAAACTCATAGTAAACGACATTGAGGGGCAGCAAATTACGGTGGAAACGGGAAATTTGTACTCGACCCGAGTAGTAATTTTTCTAATATTACTTGGTCGACGCGCAATCTTCTCCTTACAGAAATTACATGAATGAATCCGATAGGAATGCAATGTGGTTTGTATCTCGTCAGCGAATAAAACTTTATTGCAGATTTCCAAAAGAACTCTGCCAAAAAAAAGGGATAAATATTTCGATGTCGTTTACGAAATGTCATTCACGAATTTCCGCGGATGAGGTGCATCATCGATCGTGTACAATACATTTAAATAACTTTTAATCCGTTTAACAAAAGCACGCACGGCCGCGAAACATTTTTCCACGATAACACCGGCATATTAATATCGGAAAGATTCCATCGACGATACATGTATCGTCGGCAGACATGAGGAACGTCGTAGCGAAGGTTTTCTTTCTTTCTTTCTTTCTCACAATCGACGTAACACGTGTGCGACTTGTTTTGCTCTCTCACAGTATCACTATTGTTTCTGTATTTTTGCTGCTGTAAATGTTTATTCCTCCTTTCTTCACAACCTGAGCACAACACACACCGTTTCTCTGTTTTGCTTTTGTCTTAATTTGTCACGTACGGACGAATCCAAGATATCGAAGACGCCCTTTGATGAAACAGATGTCGAGTCATTATACTGAAATCTCGAATGTCACAAACGTAAATCTAAGAGACGTAATATTTGTATATATGTGGAGGAAAGTCCTCTATTATGAGATAGCAGGTTCTCAATACCCAAAATCACAAATCTTTGTTGCAACGATTACACAATCTAAGAATGAATTTTTCTAGACAGATTTTGCTCCAAGGGGCAATAAATTCATGGTGGAACCCGTGAAACCAATAGATTATGCTTGTTAATTTAACAAAACCCCCGCTATCTCATATCAGGAGCCCATCTCATAATAAGGGACTTTCCTCTTATATGGAAAATAAATTCATTGCGCGGTTGATGAAGTGACGATGGAAAAGAGTAAAAATAAAAGTAAAGACGCGACGGGGAGACACGCGAGAGATTTGTAGACTTAGAGTTTCGAGATAATTTACCCGGGAAGGGGGACAACTTAAGGCACGGTATCTGCGATTTGCCCGTACGAATTGCCGCGTATTAACACAAGTTGGTTGGGTTACGGTTATGGGTTTTGCGACGATGTTACGGTGCATGGGGTGAAACGGTGAAATGGCTCTGCGGGTTCTTGCGCACGTCGCTTCGCGCGCACGTGGCGGCGAAAATGTGGGCTGTTGAACGGTGTGCGAACTGCACCCCCGTCGCCGCATCCCTTCAGCAGGAGGTTTGCCGGCGCGCAACCCGGTCACCGGAGATGGAATCGAGGTGACGCCCTTGAGGCGCATCCCACGAAAGTATCGAGGTAACGTTCACTAATTATATCCGATTCTACAAATATATCCCTTGATCCCTTTCTCGGGAGACACGCGTCACCACTTTCCTGCTTCCTGTCAAAGTAGATTCTCAGCGCTACCGATTGGGATTCGATTATTTTCTGTCGCGAATTATCTCTAACAGAGACATAGTAGATAAGTAAATTTAAGTAAATTGTAAATTAAATCTAAGTCGTCAAAGATTTTCACATACGAGATTTCTTAATTGACAGGCAAGAGGAATTGACACCGTTGACTCTCGCTTTTTTTAATTCTTTTAATCTTTTAAGCGATTCTCGTGAAAAGTATTCCAGAATTTAATTTAATATATTTTAATATAAAGTGTAAGTTACGTTTAATTAAGTTTCTATAAGTATTATGAAAATTATATATATATATATATATATACACACATGTAGTGTATTTAGATCTATAGTTAATTAAAACTGGAGTGGAATTGCTCCTCAGTCTTTCTATCTTTTCAATCTTGCGAGTTCCAAGTGCCTTGTTAAAAGATACTTATCTAATGAAGCCAATTTTCCGAACGCGAACAGTCGAATGGAGGAAAATTAATTACCATCGCGAGAATTCCGTTTTGAAGCGCCGATTCATAATTGAATACATCCGCTAATAAATTCGTGCTAATTGTAAGCGTAAGAGTGTAAATGCCTCGTTATCTCGTAGCACGCGCAGCTCGCGAATCGCGCTAAACAACGTAATTGCAAAAGGAGCAATAACCATACGGCCATAAATATTTATACGAAGGGAATTTAAGCGCGTGCTCGTATTTTTCGCGGGCGCTCTTGGAGTCTCGAACGCAGTCTTGCAAGATTGAAATGAAAGCTCACGCGTTGCGAACGCGTATCCACGATGAAAGGACTCCGGTTCGCGGAAACGACTCCTCTCGCGAGCGAGATCCCGAACATAGCGAATTGTTTATCGAGCGGCGTGGAATTACGAGCGTGATGTACCGTTATACGTCTTCCGCGTTGTTTAATCGCGGCACGGCGTTTAATACGGTAATAGTGTCCGTCGCCGGGAAATACGTTCAGCGGAACACTGTCGCCGCACAAATCGGAATCCACTGACAATGAGCGGTGCCGATACCGTGCTATTTACGTTTCGAGTGCCCGCGGTGGCGTGCAGTCGTTCGTTGAACTTGAAAGTTCGACGTGCGTCACTCGCCAAATGATAAGACGAGCAATTCATAATTGTCTATTTAAATATTCAAATTCGGAAGTCAGTGGTAACATCTTGTTAAAAAAAAAATACAAAACGATTAAAGATAATGACGCGAACGTATTCATGTTCGCGGTAGACTCACGCTCGTGTCCATCTCCCATTTCATTCTTGCACCAATTACAAAGAGTGAGAACAAGTGTCCATAGGCAGATGGCCCCATTTTTTTCGCATTCGATTTTGGTCACAAAGTAGATACCAAACGAAACACTAACCGGCCAATGTTTTAATACAGAAAATTTATTGCGAAAAATATTACCTCAACCAGGGTTTGAACCTGGACTTCCCCACTATATAGTCCAGGTTCAAACGCTAAGGTAATATTTTCGCAATAAATTTTCTATATTAAAACACTGGCCGGTTAACGTCGACTAAAAAGCTTGATTATCGTTATTTATTACTGGCAAGTTAAAGGGATATCAAACGAAAGGTCTCGTCAAGCCGATTACAGATATGTCAGGCTCAGAGTGTACCTACTTAACGTTCCAGAGATATCGGACTCCAAAGGTTCCATTCCATTCCAAACAAATGGTTGGTGTCTGCCCAGACGGCTTCATCGCTTGCGTCCTGGGAATTTTTGGGAGCTCGATATTTGGAATGTTAAATAGTGTCCGCTCTGAGACTGACGTATCTACGATCGTCTTGACGAGCCCTTTCGTGCCTACTTTGTGACTCAAACCGAATGCGAAAAAAATGGGGTCGATCTTGTTCTCTCTTTGGATTCACTCGAATTCACAACGAAAACTCGCTTAAAGGTCGCACGGAAAAGAATTGCCAGACGATATATTATACAAATGTAAGCGAGTCTTCATGCGTCGCTTCGCGCCGCGGCATTTACGGTAAGTTGACGCGATTTAGTACGCTAGAGCGTAATAAGTAAGCAACGCATCGTACATATCGTTGTGTCTTCTCGTAGCTTATTGCAGGTGTTAATCCGGTTCGCAGACGATACACGAGTTTGTTGTTCGATGGCTTTACGACTGATTGAACTGTGTGCTTAATTGCCTGTGAAGTTGAGCAACTCCTACCTCTCCCTGGTCCCTCGAGATAAGCTCTAAACTGGTGCGACAACCGCGGTTGTACGAAACTAGTTGAGAAACGATCGTGTATCAGTTGGGGGACCGTATCCTTGTGACGTTTACGTGGTAGTGTGCGTGTGAATGTGTACGACGGCAGCATGGGGACGTGGGTTTCGATCAGAATTTTGGGATCTGCCAACGTCTTCTGTCGAGCGCGTAGGAACTTGTCGACAAGATCGTCTAATAAATTACGTACCCAACGTAACTTATTGGTCTCTTTCCCTTGCGCAAGATCTCTGCTCCGAAATGGATCGTTAATCGTAGTATTATACGTCGAGAGTTCCTGCGCTCTGTCATCATTTGCATGCCAGAAATTTGCGTGTTCGACGATGTAGAAGTGAAACGTAGCTCTTCAATTTTCCACGCCTCAAATCTGTCTTTACGAGTAGAAAAGTCTTCGCAAAGGCTTGTGTCCACGATGCTAGAACTTGGACCAAGTTCTATCTGTCTTTGCGAGTAGAAAAATCTTCGTAAAGGCCTGCGTCCACGATGCTAGAACGTGGTCCAAGTTCTAGTTTCGAGAAATGTGTAGCCAATCAACTTGCAGCTTTTATGAGATAGCTTAAAGTCGATTGGCTACATTTCTCGAAACTAAAACTTGGA